TTTTTTTTTTTTTTTTTTTCCAAAAATGATCGTCAATTCCTTTCACTCAGAGGTCAATATATTCTCTTTTTTAATTTTACTTAGAGAGCAAGGATGCTGATAAAAGTACATTGCTGCAGCAGCCCAGAAGAGAAGAGGAGGAGGTTTTAGATCAGGGTATGTAATTGTTTATTTCTCTATCAAATAAGGGACTCATAAATTTAATTACTGGCTAAGCATATCCTGATTATTAACAACTATTGTAGTTTTATCTGCTTTCCTTTAACAAATATAAATTAATATGTTCTGTGTGGTTAATAATATTGGATGTTATATAACAATTAATGAGAAATTAGTCTAACACTGGTTGTCTCTAGTCGTGCAGGTACATTTTTTGGTGCTTTTCTCTGCACTTAGTTTAATTGTCTAAAGACAATTACATTTTATCTGTAGGTGTCCTGAGCAACACACAGAAGCAGTGGCATCCTATAGGATGAGAATTGAGTAACTGTTCTCTCATGTGATTAATTGTGTAATCGGCTATTAGCCCTTCTCCTGCTATTTCTTAGTTTGCATTACTATGTATGTATCAGTTGTAATGTATGTATGAATTGTATGTCCTCATGCCTGAGTACTAATCCAAAATGCGACGGCTTGAGAGTGATGTGCTTGTGTTTAGTGAAAAAGGATTCAGCATTACCTTTTATAGGTATATGCACAAACATAACTGCACAAGTGCATACTGCATTTGGCTGCAGAAAAGTCCATGACTCTTGTTTTTATGTTATGTTATGAATGTTATTTAGATATCAGAGATGTTTTAAAATATGAGAGTATTTTGAAGTTCTTGGGGGATGTACGTCAATAGGTACAGATATTAGTTTGCTATCGAGATTTTTTTTTTTCCCTCACCAGAAGTCCTTGCTTAATACTAGTTTGATACTGGTTTATCTGAACATTGTTGGGCTTGAAAGAGAATACTGAATCAGGACTGCCAAGAAAGAATGGATTCATAAAATATACATGAAAGACAAGATTCTGAAAAGCGTATTCAGCATTAGCCTTTTTCTTGTGGTATTTAAATAGTAAAATTCGTTTCACATTTAGTGAGAGGAAAGACTACGCCAATGCTTGGTGCTTTTGATAACTTCTCCCAAAGGGGCTAGCCACTGTATAAAGTTAGCTCAAGTAATTAATTTAGTTGCACAAAATCTAGCTTCCACAGTATTAGAGCATCTTGACTAAAAGCATCTTAAACTACCAGAGACAATATTTACAACTCTGTATTCAAACCTTACCCTAGACTACTCAAGTTGAATACATTGAGAAATAAATGTAGTTCTAAAAATCATGATATACTCTCCATGATTTTTAAACTCATTCCAGGGGAGAATGAGCTAGCCACTTATAGATCAAGATTTATGCTGACAAGCAGCTTTATGCTAGTGGTAAGCACATTAGTATCTGATTGAAGTGCTTGTTATCTGTGTTTGACTGAAATCATTAACGTTTGAAACCAAATTAGTTTAAAACAAACTTCTCTTTAAAAAGCCTTTCTGGGTTGTCTTTGAAAGGTGTTTCAAAGCCCAGTATCTGCAATGCAGCCTTGTTTGCTGAGACCGTTGCTTGGTATACGTCCTCATCTGGCGCGTTTCTATGGAAACGGGCTGCGTCGTGTTGCCCGCTTGGAGTTAGTTGGGTTGACGATGTGAGATAGGAAAACACGGTAGTTCCAGTGTTTCGTTCCACGCTCCTAATTATTAGTTCAAGGTAAATTCTCCCATCATTTATAGTGGCTTAGCTCTGATTTTATGTCACTGTAGCTCTGACTTCAGTTGACTTACGTGCATATAAGTAGATATAGAGGAGGAAAAATAAGTTGGAGGCGCTTGGAGTTTTACTGTTTTCAAAGAGGGAAAGTTGTATCACTGTTTTCGAAAGCGGATTTTGGTTCTACAAACACTTAAGCCACTGTCTATTTCACTGGGAAAATCAGGTGGCTGAAAGTGATGCGCGAAAATCTGCCTGTGAAAATTGTGTGTAGATTGGAGTCCAGGTTCTTGGACGCTTTAGTGGGGCAAAGCTGGGGTTGATGTGACTGCATTGCTGAATTGCCTGTATCTTCCAGTAACCTTAAGAAGCCTGACCCAAATCTGAGAGAGGTCTTAATGACATGGAGGTTCCTCAGGTTGGGTGCAGGCAAAACCCCCAGCCTTCGTGCATGCCCGTATGCATGTGTCACACGCAGAGCTATATAAATACTTCTCCTGAGGTAAAAGCTGTGTAATATATTTTCCGTTATGGTCTGGCATGAAAAACTTTATATAAAGGAGCTTATCTTCAAGACACAAATCCATGAAAACTCAGGCTTTGATTAGTTCTACTGCTGCTGAGCTGTTGCTTAGTAAATTCAGCCTTTGATTAGCTCTGGAGATAGCACTTCAATGGCTGTTTTTTTTCCCATAACTCTGTGTTTTGCCTCACATATTTTAGCAGATTCTTGTTTTCTTTTTCCTTGATGACTCATTGTAGCAGCTTCAGGTAATGGAAATAAGCACTAATAAACACTGAAATCACTGAATCACAGAATGGTTGAGGTTGGAAGGGACTTGTAGAGATCACCTAGTCCAACCCCCCTGCACAAGCAGGGACACCTAGAGCACGTGGCACAGGGTGGCATCCAAGTTGGTTGAAGATCTCCAGAGAAGGAGACTCCACAGCCTCTCTGGGCAGCCTGTTCCAGGGCCCTGTCACCCTCACAGGAAAGAAGTTCTTCCTCACATGGAGGTGGAACTTCCTGTGTTTCAATTTACACCCATTACCCCTTGTCCTGTCACTGGCCACCATAGAGAAGAGCCTGGCCCCACCCTCCCTGCAGTCACCCTTCAGGTACTTGAACATGTTCATCAAGTCTCCTCTCAGCCTTCTCTTCTCCAGACTAAATGCTGAAATACTGTTTAAAAAAAAAGTCCTGCAAATACTTGCAAATCTGTGGAAAAGGAAAAATAAAGGGATGATCAGTGAGACAGTTTGGTACTAAATCTGTGTGTTTGTCTCAAAGCAGAAGTTGTCCCTAAGCTTAAAAAAGAAAAAAATACTGCATGAAAACCTTTCTGCCAGCAGTGTTTCTATAGAATAAAAGAATAGATTGAATATTGAATGAAATGAATATGCATATAATAAGTATATAAAATGAAAATGTAATTCCTGTGTATAGGTGCTTTCTCCTACATGCAGTCAGTCCAGGAGTTACCATGGCTTTTACTGTAACTTCTCAATTCACACATGAATCTATTCTGTCACCTTCACTAATGAAAAACGCGTTAATAAGCCATGTAAATATGTTGAAATAAATGGCAATCATCACAAAGTGAGCCGTCATTCAGCATGAACAAAGCCGACAAAGCTAAATTCCTTTAATGTTGAAATTAAACAAAACTTACTTGCCGTAATGAAGCCAACCTTGTCACAGGGCTTTTGAAGCATTAATGGCACTGTCAGGTGAGCGGAAGCTGTTGAGAGAAAGCTAATTATTATAGCAAATGCAACCGGCTGTTGCAGCTGTGCATATTTAAGTGTTCCCTGTTCCTGCAGAAGCACCAAGTGTCCTCCATTCAGCAAAACGGGTATTATTTACATTTCTGTTCATCAATAGAAGCACAAGTAAAGTGGATTCAGTAGTTGGAGTCCTGAAAAGCTGTTATCTGTTCATAGCGTTCCCCATAATGTCCGCTAACTATCCCCTTTTTCCCTGAGGGAAAAAAATACCTCCGTGTGTTTTTTTTCCCTGTTTGTTCAAAACCTTCCCTGCCGGGTAGGCTGGGTGGCATCATTTAATCAATCTTTCTTCCCAAAGGTCACCGCAAGCTACTCCATTCCCAAGATGCAGTGGATATGACAAAAGTACAATTTGTAGAAGGAAAACAGTGCATGACCTCTGGTAGTTGGAGGTCTTCAAACACCTTCAGGGAAGCAGCGCAGTCCGGCAGTGGTGTTAGGCTAACTGAAGAGTTACTGGGCAAAAAGGCAACAGCAGTTACATTGCAGACACAGAAATAAAAGGCTACTTATAAATATAAGTTGTATTTGTGTGCACTGGAATACTCTTCCATTCATGTACATAGCTGAATAATATATACTCGCTACCAGAACTGAAAAATAAGTGCAGAGTTGACCAACACTTACTGTAATGTTTACATTTTTTTTTTAATCTATATATATTTTGGACAGACACATGCTTCAGAGAGCTTAGGTGTGTTTTGATAGACAAGCAGTAAGGCAGCCTTGGCTATCAAGATAGTGTGTTGCTGTAGCTGGGAGCTGTGCAGACACAGTGCAAGGAGTTGTCTTAATGACCACCGCAGAGGGCAGAGGAGACGATTAGTCAAGTGCCTGTTACTTCCTATATGTCATTTATGTGCATTATATGTAATCAAAAACTCTATTTTGAAGCAGAAAGGGCAAGTGTTATTCCTAGTACAATGAGTATAGTTATATTTAAAATTAAATATTTGTAAAATACAGTGTTTATATAATATCTATATAACTAAGAAAATGTCAAGACTGGCTTGAACTAAAAAACTGTTTGCAGCATAGAAACCAAAAATCCTAACCAAAAATTAGTTGAGACTTTTGTTTCAGAAAGACATAAGCATGCATAATATGCGAGGGAGATGGGATTTTCATCTTACTTCTGCTATTATGTTTATTGTGAGTTACAAAAGTGCACTCTTACTAGTGTATCTTAAGATGCTTAAAAGTTACTACCAAACAAGCAGCAGTCTTTCTGCCTCTTGTGCTGGGATCTGAAGCACAGTCAGGATTGCCATTCTTTTGCCATCGGTGTTGGTCAATTTGTACTGGCAATATACTTTTTTTCAGTTCCACTAATTCTTAATTTTCATGAGCATAAATTACTCCAGGAAGTCAAATGGTGGAGTTCAGTACAGGTGTGCTTGAGATGTATCTTTTTGGATAGGACAGCGTGACTTATGTGATATTCTCATTCCAAAGCTGTAGCTTTTACCTGAAATCTTGTTAAGCTGCCCACATTTAAAATTAATATTACAGTTTGAGATGAGTTTAGTTTATATAAAAGTAATTTGGAATTATGGAAGCATAGATGGTGAGGCAGGGGGAATAGAGAAAGGCCCCACAGGTCATCGTCTCCATTATTT